GGCCTAATTCTCGACCTTCCAAACCCTTCGGATCTCGACGTCGTTCGTTCATATTTCCATTTAAGCGACGAAGGTAATGACTTCTCTCGACGCCTTGTTGAATTAAGAATCGTATTATTCTAATGCCAACGGTACCCTCTCTTTCTTGCTAGAGATGGCATCTTTGAGATACAGCTTCCTGGGGGCCAACGGCCGGCGCCAAGCCAACAACAGGCGTCGAGCCAACAGCCGCCGTCCATCCCGCGGCCCCCGTCAGGCCAACAGCCTTCGGCGAAGGGGAAGGAGAAGGCCGGCTCTTCCTGCCCTGCACCGAAAGGCAAAAAGAGCAAGCACAAGAGGAGGCGTACTGAGGAGCCGGCCCCTAGCCAGGCGTCGACTGACAAGACCTGGACACCGGTAGTGCCCATTCCTGATGTCCGTGCACCCCCGGGACCAAGAGAATGCATACTGATCCCGGGGGGGAAGATTACGGATGCGAACTTCCAGGTTTCGGATATTTCTGACGCCGAGGTCGGGGCGATGCTAAAACTCCCCCCTCGCTTTTCCCTCGTCTTCCAGGCCTTATACGAGTCGTTCCTCGAGCCCCATTGGGTCGCTGCATCCCAGTCTTCCATAGTCGACCGCCAACGCAAGCAGATCTCCTTCCAGATCCACATAAGTTTTTCTTTCTTTTTTTTATTTTTTTTTTATTTTTCCTGATTTCTTGCTATTTCCCAGAGCCTCGTCCTTTCCCTTCTTAACCTCCTTGACCTAATCAAGGTCGATGAGCGAAAGGATGAGATGGACGATTTGGAGGCCCGGCTTCAGTCGCTCGTCGATGAGGCCAAGAAGAGCAGGGATGATGCCATCGAGGAGAGGGATTTGGCGAAGGCCCAACTGATCAGCCTGGACAGCGAAGTAACCAAGTTGAAGGCTGAAGTCGCAAAGCTTACTCGACGGGCTGATGAATCTGAAAAGAAACTGGCCGAGGCGATCGTGGATGCCGAGAATCTGGGGGCCGAGGCAACCTTCAACGCCAGACGGGCGCGGATCATTGAGGAATTCAAGGCTTCTTAAGAGCTCTTTGACATCCGCAATAATGATTTCCAGTCAGCGGGTCAGTAAATTGTTGATCTGATTAAAAATGAGCGTCCTGATTGGGTCTTGGGCTTCCTCTACAACTCGCCTCCTCCTGCCGGCGACGAGGAAGTGCCCCCTCCTGGTGGCGATGAAGAGAACGCTCCCTTCCTTAGTGGCGGCGAGGAGCCAGCGGATGGTGGCGACGATGCTTAAGGAACTATCTTCTATCACCCCTTTTTTTTTTGGACAATTTTTATATTACCCGTATTTCTATATAAAGGCAATGGGTTTTGTTCATACCTTGATTCATAATCATTGATTTCCTTTCTGTTTCTCTTTCAAAAATTCCTTGAAATTTACTAAGTGCCGTCTTTCTCCTTGGAGGATTTGACGTCGAGCTTATCCCTTTGGGTCGTCGTCTTAGGAAATTCCTTAGAATTTCACTAAGTGTTTTGTCTTTCCTCCTTGGAGGAT